TGATCCAGTACACACATTGTTAGCATATATCTCATTAGTGCCCGGGGGAGGGGAGGTCAGAAGACCCTCTCAGAAGCAGGCACAGTGGAGAGTGTTCTGATGCTTACCAGTGCAACAGTACCACAGCAAATAAATGACACTCAAATAACTGTAGGAGATGACTATGGCTCAGTGTAAGCCTTATATTGGCTGCATTTCCTGTGATCTGGGAGCGATGGAGTTTGTGTAGTTGATCTTTGAAGTTGTTCTTAACCCTTTTCCGTTGGCACAAATATTTTTTCCAGGCAATGGTTTAATTTCAACAGCCTGGGTTTGCATGCTTGGCACCCCTTCTACCCAGGAAACCTCCATCCCCCTCCCCCCCTTTCAACCTTGAACTCTATGAAAAATGCAAAACAGCCCCTAGTGCATGGTGATCCATTCCTGAGAGTTTTGTGGATAAAAGCACTGAACTCTGACTCAGGAGACTTGGGTTCTATTCCCAGCCCTGCCACTGGCATGCTGGGTGGCCTACGGCAAGTCACTTCCTTTCTGCCTCAGTTTTCCCATCTGTAAACAATGGGAATAAAATGACGCTAATCTCGTTTTGTAAAGTGCATTGAGATCTGCTGATGGAAAACCATGTAGAAGAGCTAGGCCAGCATCGTCTATACTGAGCACAAAGCTGGGAACCAAATTGATAGAGCCCTGTGCAGATACAAATTTACATCCGTGGATGCAAATCTGTATCCGCGGAACCGCAGGGCTCTCCCAGGAACCACAGTGGTGAAAGGAGCAGAACATGGGGCCGCCTCTCCCAGGAGCCAGTGCCCCGTGCCGGCAGCTCCTCTGGCATAGCTGTACCTCCTCCAGCCCTGCCCCGCTCCCTTCTATGCAATTGTCTGCATCTACTGTCTGGGGGCGTGCATGCCGCTAGAACATAAGAGCACGACCAGGGACAGCTGCCGGTGAACCTGGTGCCCGCCCCAGTGGGCAGGACTGGGGTCGGTACAGCCACGCCTGAGGAGCTGCCAGCGCGGGGCACTGGCTCCTGAGAGCAGCAGCCCCACCCTCTGCTCCTTTCGCCACTGCGGTTCCGCGGATACCAATTTATATCCACAGATACCTGCATCTATGGGTATAAATTTGTATCCGCGCAGAGCTCTACACATCAGGATTGCAAAGTATTGTTAAAGCCAGTTAGTGGTGCTGGTTGCCCTAGAATGTGGGATGTGGTCCCAAATTGTGCTCTATCCTCACAAGAGCACATGGACTGGACAGGCAGCATCACATTCTTAAGGAAAAACTGGTCATCTTGGTGTTTCACTAACTTCCTCCTAGAATACACGGGTGCAATGCCACACTCATTTGGAAATTTTGTTTAGAAATGCTCTAATTCTTTAGAAGTGTTGGGTACGCAAAAGCAGGCAGATTGAACTGAGGAAAGCTCAACACACCAAGACATCCGGGCACTTGCTCACACTGCCCCAAAAGGGGGTCAAGACAGATGGCCCCTTCTGAATTTACCATTTCCCTGTTTAATCTCCCCCACTGGTAGCAATATCTGTCAGAGCTATTGTCAGAGAGACCGAGTATAAAGCAAACCTTTGTTAAGCAACTGCTTAGCTCATTACCCTACCACATTTCTTAGAGTTCTTTTAATTTCAGTTGCTTAACTAAACAAAAATTATTTGAAAGTAGATTTATAGAGTTTATTAAATATCCTTAACACTAGCAACTAATAGTATAGGATAGAAGGCAAAAATGGTATTGGACTATGATTTGGTTACATAAATTTAAACATTGGTTGATAAAACTGTTTAGGTTTTCAGAATCAAATTACACACCCAAAATAGAGAATAATTCTTATACTCAATTACTGTCTTAGAAAGGTGACTGTGTTTAGATTTTTGACTCAGTCCCTCATCCTCACTTGCCAATTAGTTATGAACTTTGGTGTTTCTAACACAACAGAGGAAAAAAAACCCACTAAGGCTAGATCACAAGACAATTTGGTCAATTATTTACATTCCAGTTCACCAAGGTCTCCTTCCCGATAAATCTGTAGTAGTCAGCCCTTGTTGCCCACTTCCCAGTGAATAATAATCTCCGGATCAGATAAACACTCCTAACTACCTAAAATAAACTCCTACGGTATGACAGACTGAATAGACTGAGAGCAGTGCAAGAAATTTGAACACTTGGTCTCATTTTGTAACTACATACACATAGAACTTGGAAAGTAGTATGAAACCATTAACTAGGGTAAACACCTGTACAGTTCTACAGTCGGTAGTTACATGTAGATGTACATGTAAACAGTAACTTCTTCAGTTTTAAAGCTACTTTACCACAAACTTAATTGGAACCTGTTCCAAAATAAAGACACACACACACTAACTCTGTCAGTCTGTAGAGCACATACACAAGCATGAATGCTTCCTCACTCATTAGGCACTTTGTTTCAAGAGATGGTCATTGAGTGATTTGGGTAGTCACTTCTCACCAGATCTTTACTCAGCCACCAGCCTTCAACTCCGTTATTATTCACAGCAGGAGTTAATGCTGCAAACGTAGGTGGAACGAAGGACAGACAGGATTATAGTCTTTTTCCGATGAACTAGCAGGCAACCTGAATTACTGGAAAATAGGAACAGAGGGTCCTGTGGCACCTTTAAGACTAACAGAAGTATTGGGAGCATAAGCTTTCGTGGGTAAGAACCTCACTTCTTCAGATGCAGTCTTGCAGGACCTCCGTCTTCTCTTTTCTAGGCATCTTTGGCTTTTGGAGAGCAATGTGCTGAAGAAAACAGGCTGCTTTATCCTATCCCATGTGGTCCAACCTGGTTCCTCTTCTTGGAGGTGCTGATGTGGACCATTCAGATGGTGACTCCTATTCTTTGATGCTTTTTAAACTTGTTCTAACAGTCCATTCGTTATACAATACAAAGTCACTTCAAGAACTGTTGTTCTCCAGCAGGCTGGCACAGCTGTATAAGCCTTCCATTTTTGTTCTCCTTGTTTTATCAAGAATAGGACCTTAGTATGTATGGCTGAGCTGAGTCTGTGTTACATTTCTGATTATTCCCTTCTGTGATCAAGTGTCCTTATAGACACACTATTTGGCTTCAGTTGCTGTTATTTACTGCCTATTTCAGCAGAGGTGTATTTTGCTAGTGTGATGGCATAGGCATGCTTGATTGTAAACATTAGCCTTACTTCTTCACTTCATTACTAAATTAAATCAATATGAACGCAATCCCTTACCCTCCCTACCAGGATTCCCCATGAGATGAACCTGTCATTAAAGTTTCTTCATCCAATTAAACATAAGAATTGCCTTACTGGATCATACCAGCTGTCGGTTCAGTCCAGTATCCTCTGTCTGACTGCTTCAGGGGAAGAAATCCTGCTCTGCCAGTTACGGGGTAACCTGGGCCTAGTAGTCAGAGGTTGCTTTATGTCTCAAAACATGAGAGTTTAGATCCTTTTCCTAGCTCTCTTTAAAAATATTAATTATAGCAACATTGGCTATTCTTGTTCCCCATGTCAACCTCCAATCCTTTTTTTGAATCCTGCAAAGTTCTTGGCCTCAGAGGTCTGGCTGTAGAAATGGGAGGGTAGGTTATCCGAAGTTGCTTCATGCCTAATAAAGTGTGTGTTGGACAGGTCCACTGAAAGGAGGTTTTGCTTTGAGCTATGAGTGAGAGCTAGGATTGCACCTTTGGTGAGTTGTGTGTTTGTCCTGCCTGTCACAGAAAGGCATTGTGGCTCTGTAGCATGTGTAAGTGGCCGCCATCATCAGTAAAAAGGAAGGAAACATATACTGTGGATGACTTTTATAAGCAAACCCCTAGCAGATTAATTGGCAAGAATTGAGAAGAGCATCAAAATTGATTAAGGAGCTGGAGGCAAGTGAATCAGGAGGAAATATTAAGAGCTAGACAGGTTGGCTAGAACAGCACAGCAGTAAATCACATTCAGGAGGTTATCGTCACAGCCATAAAGGCAAGAGACTATTTCTTTTCAAATGACACTTCCATTCGGCATACACTAATGGGGCACCCAGACCGTATCAGCTCCATTGACACTTACTCCTAACTATGCCCCTTTGTACCACCTTCAACAATTCTGATCGATGCCCCTCTTTCTGTTTTTGTACCCTTCATATTCCTCTAGCCTCCGTGTACCCTCCCTCACCTGTGCTCTAACCCAGGAGTTCTCGATCCTTTTCTTTCAGACCCCCTCCCCCACACACATGCTGTAAAAACTCCATAGCCCACCTGTGCCACAGCAACTGTTTTTCTGCATATAAAAGCCAGAGCCAGTGTTAGGGGGTAGCAAGCAGGGCAGTTGCCTGTGGCCCCACACCACAGGGCGCCCAGCAAAGCTCAGTTGCTCAGATGCTGGGGCTCCAGCGAGTCTAATGTCGGCCCTGCTTGGCAGACCTCCTGAAACCTGTTCGCGTCCCCCTGGGGGCCACAGAACCCTGGTTGAGAACTGCTGCTGTAGGGAACAGGCCCCAAGGGTTCCCTGCCAGACTTAAGGGGTTCAGTTACTTTCACATTTTTGAGTGGAGGGCCAGGGAGATACAGAGACTGGTTTTAGATTAGCTAGTTTAGAAACCCGCTTTATGAATAAACTAGGGCCTGATCTTGCCAACTACTACCCAAGTGAGTCACCTGTGTTTGAATCGTCTCTGACGTCAGTGGGACAAAGCACGTGAGTAGGGATTACTTGCCCGAGTAACAGTTTGAAGGATTGAGGTTTGTGCTTTATCAAACTGCCCCCACTATGGTAACTGTCTCACCCCAGTTTGCTGATATGGTTTGACATGTCAGAACTATTTAACTGCTGAGTAGCTGGACCAGCAGCCCATCCCGTTCTTCCCGGATAGCAACAGGCTGTGTGTTAAGAAATGACCTGACGTTCTCATTCTGAAAAGCAGCTCGCTGCCTTAACCAGTGAGCACAGGTGAGCACTTTGCAACCGGTGTGGCTTTGTCTCCTTCTTGCCAATAGGAAAAGAAGAAGAAAAAGAAACACAAGAGCAAGAAGTCATCAGAGTCCAACAATTCAGACAGCTCCGACTCGGACAGTGATGGGGCTCAGCCAGCCAGCAAGAGGGCCAAGCATTCGGAGAAAGCTAGTAAGCCTCAGAAGAAGAAGAAGAAGAAAAAGAAGCATAAGAAAAAGCACAAGGAATGAGGAGGAGAGGAGCTAGAAAGGGGCACTGGTGTTGTCAACTCTCTGCCTGACTGCTCTAGCCTTCTAGAGTAAACTACCTGGGAGAGGGTAGAGTTAAATCACTACACGCTTGTTTCAGGGATGAAGAACTTCCTTCTAAAAGCAGCATTCAGCTATTGATGTTAAAGATGTTGACTTTGAAATTAATTATCCACTATAAAGTTACACAGGCTGCCATTCTCCTGCTGAGAGCCCACTGGTTGTGCCTGCCAAAATAGATTCATTAATCCTCTTCATCAGTGACTCTCCCATCCTGTAAAGCTTCAGGTTCCTCTGAGTGAGCTGCCAGGGCTGCAGTGAGTTCCTTTGAAACAGCAAGGAGTGTGCAGGACAGCAGCAGCGTCTCCAGTGCCTGTCAAAGGGTGATCGCTCAGGTTTGGGCCCTGCCAACCAGTCCCTGCAAAACATTACAGGGAGCCACTCACACACCCTGTCAGCGGATTGTCTAGTCATGGGCACCGCCTCCCTGCTGATGGTTACAGTTCTCACCCCTCTGCATCTCAGTCCTGCCCTATGCACTGTTTTTGTATCAGTGTAACTCTGTGGCTAGGGGTGTGATTTTTGTTACCAATAGAGTTATACTGCTACACTCCTAGAGTGAACTCAGTTATGCTGGTATAAATGTCCTTATCATAGGCGCCGACTGCGTGGGCGCTCTGGGGCTGGAGCACCCATGGAAAAAAAAAATAGAGCTCAACACCTACCAGCAGTCCCGCAGATCAGCTCCTCCCCCAGCGCCTCCCGACCGCCGTGATCAGCTGTTCAGTGGTATGCAGGAGGCGCTGGGGAGAGAGGGTGGGAAGAGGCGGGGTGGAGTGGGGGCAGGGCCTGGGGCAGAGCGGGGATCCAGCACTCCCAGGGAATCACAAAGTTGGTGCCTCTGGTCCTTATACTGATACAGCTTATACCCCTGTCGTATGGGAATGGCTGTACCAGTATAAGTCATCTTCATACAAAAGTACATCCACTCTAGGGGGATTGTATTGCTTTAACTAACAACTTCTGTGTGTAGACAACCCCTCAATCTTGTCCATTCTGCCTGTTAGCAGTGGCAGAGGGTTGGTAACAAATCAGCTAAATTATGTTATGGAGACACTCAAGGTAAACATTAGCTTTGTCAGTATTGCTAGCTGTGTAAATGATGAAAAATAAACCTCTGAAATGCTAAATTAAATTCTTCCGATGCTGTTCTGATTGGTGTTTTTGGGTGTGTCTGCTCTGCTGGCGCACACACCTATGTCAGTTGGGGGTGATTTTTGACTGACAGAGCTGTGCCACAGTTATACCAGCAAAGCCTCAGGTTTGCCCGCTATAGCTTGTGTCCCTTGTGGAGGTGGGGGTGGGTGGCCTTGCCATACCATACCAGGAAAAGCTTCACCAGTATAGTTGTGTCCACACTAGGAGCTCTTTGCTGATCTAATGTAACACTGTTCCTAGACCAGTAAAGTGCTCCTAGTGTAGCTATAGTCCCTTATCTGGGGCAGCAAAACAAAGGCCTTGTCTAAACACACAAGTTGCACTGGCTTACGGGTGGCTTGTTTCAACTACTCTGAAATCTGTTTCAGATCAGTGTAAGATTAACCTCAATAGACAACCGTTAAACTGAACTAAGGGTTGTCCCGACAGGGGGTTTGCATCTGTTTCTAATACCACCTTTAGTTAAAATGCTGCAGCTTTCTCATAAATGTGCCCTGGACTGGTCAACTTCAAAGGGACCTGACAAGGGAAAACATGGCTTTGTACTGCCTTGCTCGTCTGATGTACAGAGAGAGAGCGAGTCTGAAAGTCTCTCTTGACAACTGAAGAACTAGAAGGGTTCAAGTCAGAAAACATTATGATCATCTAGTCTAACCTCCTGCATGACATGGGCCGGAGAATGACATCACTGACAAGAAGGGTGGTTCCTAATTGAGAAGATAAGTGATTCTTACTCTCATTCAAACTCTGTTACACCTATTTAACTCATTAGGGAGAAAATCTCTCTGGGAAAGCCCTTTGTGCATTGAGGAAATTCATTGCAGTGTAAAAGGATATGCCAACTCGCATGTGACTGCACTGACCTGATGCAAAGCAGGGCTTCCAGCAGTACAGCTAAACCAGTAATGTACTGAAGTAAGCTACGTGAGTGGAAACCCTGCAAAACCTTTTGTTTGTACAGTGCAGAGTACAATGGGGACCCTGATCCCTGACCAGGCCCCTAGCCCCTACTACAACATTCATTTTAGTGCATTCACTACACCAGACTGAATTTCCTCAAGGTAGACGGGGCTTAAGAATTCAGCTCTAGATTGAAAGGGCAGGCTGGCGAGAGCTTTCATTCCACGTGTTCTTCAGCGAAGTCAGGGAAGACCAAACATTTCTCCCACTTGTAAGGTCTTCAAGCACTGGTGGCGTGGTGTGATATGCCTCACCTGCTGGAGGGGATATGAGTTCAGTTCAAAATCAGACTCTTCTTTGAAAAGTCCCAAAGCATGATGGACTCCGGGGTTATCGAAAACTCATTTCCCAAACCTCAGTGTGACAGATCTAGCTGAGCATCCCTGTTTCCTAACCTTGATTTCCCAGCTTCCCTTCTGCTCATGTGGGCAGTGTCATGCGTATGCTACACAGCAGCATTCTCTGCTGAATTTGTGCTGTAAGGATTTGGTTATGTGGAATGATGTGTGTGTATAAAAATTATACTCTGAACAACCACTCCTAGTAGAATTGCTGGTGCGAAAAATATAACAGCCCTGAGAAAACCAGGCTTGATTGTGACCCGTGCTTTTACTTCAGATACTAATCTATTGCAGGGGGACCACTAACAATGAAAGCTTGGAGTGGGTCCTGTGTGGTTGGAGTGAAGAGAGACATTTGAAGGCTGTGTGATTGTGGGGTCTTCATACTAAACTTGGGGGCAGGCTCGAATTGCAATTTCACCTTGCTTTTCTCTGTAGTAATCGTTGTTGAACACTGTCTTTTTAAACCACAGTGGCATCCTTGTAGCTGTCTGGTTACAAAACAAACAGGAACAGTGCCTGTTATGTCTGCATTTGGATCCAACTTTCCCCAGAGTAGTAGAAATGTGTGTTGCCTGAACAGGCTGCTTAAAGGTAAGTCAGCCCTAGGAAAATGTTTTTCTCCTTCCTTAGCTGCAGTTCTGCCTGAGGCCAAGGCCACTAGAGGGAGTGTAATGCAAAATGTGAGCAGAGACTACTCATGGAGCTGGAATGGGGAGGGAGTTGGAGAGACTTGTGGAGCTGTAGCCAGGCGCGTAGCAGCATCCCTTGGTTTTTGCGGACCCTTGAATCTAGCAGCTAGCATGTGATCCTAAGAGACCCAGCTGCTGCTCAGCTAATCGGCAAACTGGAGGGGGGTTGAAAGAAGATGGTGGAGGAACTGATCCAAGATTAAACAGTGTTTGGTCGATCAATGACTAGTGTTGTGGAGTAGGTGTATTGAGGCGTATGTCTCTATCCTATCCTGTTGTTTTTCCACTGGTGGGAGCACTAGTAGAGAGGCCAGCAGGGGCTACTGACGTTTTAACCACCAGGCTGCTTTGACCTGCTCTGAGCAGGGCTACAACTGAAGCTGGCTAGAAAACAGCCTTTCCCTCCCAGGAAAAATCTAGAATTTTTGAAAAAACATTTGTTCCGCCCTGGCTGCCCAGTGAGCCTGGAAGCGAAGGCTGTATTAAGTTTCTCTGACTTCCTTGCTAGGGTTTGTTGGTCTCTGCAAGTCCAAAGCCTGCAGTATTACCTAAGCAGAACCCACCCTGTGCCCACCCACCCAGCTGGCCCAGAGCAGAGTGAGGCCCATAGCTAGAGGTGCTGAAAATTAGTCCTGGTATGGAGACGGCTTGTGAGCCTTTCCCAGAGCAAGCCAGACACCAATCTGTAACAACTTTGGTTTATTATTTTCCACATGGGGTCTTACAAGATTTAAAATAAAACAAACCACAGTACCACAGAAAGCAGAGTCACGGGCAGAAGGGGAGGGCTCGCCTGCACTGGCTCCATGCTCACATATTAAATTGAATACAAAATGTGGGGGGGAAATAGGCAATTCAGTGAGTTCAGCACCAGGTGATCAGCAGAGAGCTGGTGTCTATGTTGCCTTTTCATAGGTGCGAGTGCAGATAACAGTGCCCATGGTGAGAGTCTGGAATCGGAAACAAAACAAGGGAGGTTAGAGGAGGATTTGGGGTCAGTCCCTCACCAGGAGCTTCACAGCTGACTTTCCCCCCAGCAGCTTCTGTCAGGCATTCACCGCAGGGCAGGGCAGGATTTGACTGGATTTCTGGGAATTAACAGTTCTTGAGATCTGCCCCCTAGCTTCTCTCTCAGCTTTTAAGCTATCCCTGTAGGACAGATATTCAGCCAGCTGTTCTGGTTCTTCTAACCCGTCCAAGGCCTGGTCTACACTTGTTGGACTGGTTTAACTGTGGATTCAGAGTGTATATTTATATCGGTACCACCCTGATATATGCTGGTATAAATGTACCTTATTACCAGTATAGCTATTTCTCTTTCCTGTAAGGAAATATGCACCTTTATACTGATGTAGCTTCTTCCACACAAGGGGCTTTGTAGTGCTTTAACACAGGGCTAGTTAAAGCAGTTACAACTTACCGCTGTAGACAACCCCTATGTTTATCCGATGCCACCTACTGATTGGCAATATCTTGAGTGAATGGAAAGGCAGGTGCCGTTAGCAGATCCTAGGAATACTTTTGCCCTCTTACCAGAATTAACTTCCCATCCTCCAGTTCTCGGACTAACGTCGTCTCCTTTCCATCCCATTTCTGCACATGGATAAGTTTTCCTCCATCCAGCGTCACGAGAGACTGCAGGGGGAGAGAGAGATCAAAGCGCATAGCATAGGAGCAGCACAAGTGGTTTAAAATGGGGTAATAAGATAGATCCTTCGTGGGCTTAAGGTTCAGGCACACGCAGTGTCTCTGCTCGCACATCCCCAAGGATTTGCCCTTGAATCCGGTCAGCAGGACCTTTCATGTCTATCAAAGGGGTGAATGCCTGGGAACTGTGAAACCAAGGAAGCGGTGCAGACAGGGTGGTGTCACTGCAGAAAGAGCCATCAGAATTACCTCAGGGCTGGAGGTGGGGATTTTTAGATCTCACTGATGCTTGGCTGTTCATTGCTGCAACTAGAGTAGGGCAGGGCATTCGCCTGGCCATCCCAGCAGCTGTATTTTGGTGGCTTGTACAAAAGAAGTTTCTTGGTGGCTGCAGAGAGAATGGACCCTGCCCTCCCAGCTGCTAGAATTAGTTTACAGGAATGGTCATGGTGGCAAAGAGAGAGATTTTAATCAGGCCTGGAGCTACCGGGGAGCAAAGGGGTCATCCCACCCCCCAAAAAAAGATCATTAAAGGGTCCTAAATTGTTAGAGGGGCTAAAATATGAACCAAGTTGTTCAGTGTAAAGCAGTGAACAGTGGCAGATGGGAGAGTTTTCATCCTTTATATAAATTCGAAATCACAGCAAAATATTGACACCGGAGCTAAATTTTATTTGTAAACTCTTAAAATCCAAGATTTTTCAGGAGTTTCACCAGCCCCTGGACTTCTGGAAGGTAGGTTGTTTTTTAAATAGTGATGTCCAGGGGCCTCAAAATACCCCCCCTCCCAATCATGGGACCCTAGAACTGACCCTGAGTTTAATGGTGCATCTTGACATGAATTTCCTTGGTGAGTTAATGCCAAAAAAGGGAGGAGGAGGGAGTCTTTCCTACCCTTTAGTCCCATCTGAGGGTTCTCTCGCCTCAACCTTAAATGGAAGGGGCTGATTAATGTC